TAGCAACAACCACATTGTGACCACAATTAAGTTTAAAGTGAAATTCTGCAATTGCTGGCGCATCATTTGAGCAATGCTGAGATGAGCTTTGTGCCTTTGATTGATCGCTGGTTACGTGCTGAAAAAGGCATACAAGTAGATAGCAATAGCAACAGCAACAGCAACAGCAACAGCAACATCAGCAGCAGCAGCAGCAGCAACACCAGCAGCAACAGCAGCAACAACTGCAAATGAAATGTGTTGCTGTTTTGGCCTCCAGGCGGATGCAAAAGTGGGCAGCGCGTCAACGGCGCTCGGGAGATGCCTGTCAACTGAGTGTGGCACCGCGATTTCTGCCAAATACCCGACACTAACAACACTTTTAGTTTCATTGCTAAATGAGTGAATTTGTTAACAGAGTTGTTGCTATTGCTGCCGCTATAATTGAAGATTTATGCAAATTTCTCACGCTTATCACAGCCCGGCAGCATTTCTTATATCGATTGAATGGAAACTGTTCAGCATTAGCTTAGATAACATGAGATTATAAATTATGTTATTTATTTTATAAGAGAAATTTAATTTGTTGCACAGCTGAGACTCACATTTTGATTAATTCAAATTATGAAATCACCATAGAATGTGAAAATAATCTGTATGAATGAAGAATATATATCAAATATTTTTATACTAATAATATTAATATTTATGAAATATTTAAAAAAAAATCGATTGAATTAAATTTGATTATTTAATAAGTATCAAGTTTATTTTATAACGCACTAATTATCATAAATGTATATATATAGATAATAATTTATTGAATTGTACTTTTTTGAATGTAATGTTAATTACAAATTTTGTTCAAGCATAGATAATTTTCAAATCATCAATATATGCATATGATACGAAAACAAGATACAATACATATTGGGTGACTCGCAACGTAAGCCTTTTGGCTTAAGCCTTTCGACTTTCTAAAAAGTAAATATGCATAAAATGATATGCTAATCGAAAAGCAGTTAAGTATTCTTGAATGCCAGGCCGAGACTCCAACCAATTGACCGAGTGTTATGTGACCCAGTTAAGGTTTTATTTTAGTGCTGTCACCGTCTCTGTGGCATATGCCACTTCTAAGCTAAATATAAGATCTGCCATAACGAATTGTAAACAAATAGTGGCCTGGCCGAAGATCATTTAAATGGCAAAAGCCAAATGGAGCCGCGGTGCAGAGCCAGGCCAAGTAAAAGGCACACAGATCGCAGTTGAATGAATGAATAAGTGAATGAATAAAAAAGGGAGCCAACAGCCAGCAGGCAGATAAACAAACAGATACCAGCAAAAAGTCAATCGTTCAAGACTAGCAACAATAGGCAACAGAAATCCTATAAAAGTAGCAACAGCAACAACAATGGCAGCTAGCTGTGCAGCACGCTTCCCAAAAACAGGGAGATACAAATTGTATCTTTAGCTGACATTTCAACATGACTTCAACTACAACTCCAACTTTGACTTGAGTGCGTACGTGTATGGGTTGTGTATAGGTGTGTGTGTGTGTGTGTGTGTGTATTGGCAAATACGTTTGTAAGGCTTGCTTGTTTCTTGGTTTTTCGGTTTTCGGTTTAACTACATGCCAAATCTGTCAAGACGGCACAAAAGAAAGCGAGCAATCGGCGTGGGTGTCTGGCGGTCAAAGCACTCGGCACTACAATGTGTAGCTGAGCACTTCGTTTCGTTGCCCGCAGCTGACACATGCTGAAGATACCCTAGATAATGGATAGATTGCCAATTGTTAATAAGCCACAGTTTGCCCCCAATAAAAAATGATTTATCATCGTCTCGATTCGTCTTCCCTTCAGGCTTCACTGTACCCGGTCTTCAAGACTATATATACTTTTAATGAATATATATATTATATATATATGTATGTTGATATATGTTTTTGCATTGTACAAAAAATGTGCGCGCTTTCGAATTTTTTGCTTAATGAGTTCAAGTCAAGTCATAAAAATGTAAATTACTTTTATATGAATTATTCTTTTATCCGAAATAAAATTGATTGCATTGATTTGCAATTTAGATTATCAGCTCAAATTACCCATGTTTAAGAAAATAACAAGAATTTTTTTTAATGAGTATGCGATTTTGTTTTTGTTTTGATATATAGTTCATTTAGAAGAAATTAAAAATAAATCAATGAAGCGTGGCTATTGTTTAGGGTAGGCCAGGAAAGTAATCTGAACACGTATTGAGTATATTTTTGAATAGTAAATTATTTGAGCCAAAGAGATGTTAAAATTTAGTATTTTGAATTTTTATTTATTTACTTTAGTTATTTACTTTCCTTCCACCTTTTCTACTCGAGACTCAACATGTTTTCTTCTTAGCTATTTTTACTAATTCATTACCCCTAGTAGTATTTATTATTTTTATAACCGGTTGAGAAGCTTTGCCTTTAAATTAATGAATATTATTTTTAATTATGTGATAATTGGACAAAGTCTCGATATGATTTTTAGAAACCAAATAAAGGGTATCTTCTAGCTGTTTGGCTGTGTTGTAGTTCATGCTTTGTTCCACGCTTCACCTCTAAAATTAAACAATATAACTAGTTTTTTTTTTAGTAAGTGTAGCAGTTCATAGGGTTTCCTCGTTTAAGCAGTCTTGACTAACTTTTTTTGTTAAAAGCTAAAATGCATTTATAAACGGATATTCACATGCATTCAAATCGATTGCAGATCTTGGGACAAGTCTTCAAGTCTTTTACAATGCCCCAAGCTTCCGTTGGTAAAAAAGAAGAAGAAGAAGAAGAAGAAGAAAGAAAAAAATTGAACCAAAAACCGGGCTAATTTCCTATTACTGTAATGAACGTTTTATGAACCGCTATAACGCAACACCTTTATAAGTGTTCGATACAGTTTTTTATTCGAGGCAGACAAAGCTGAAATCGAACCGATTAGCGACTACTTGGGTCATATAAAAAAAATATATATATGTGTGAAAGAAAAACCTGTACAATGGGCCAAACTAAAATTAGAAGCATGTCTAAAAATCGTGAGACACACAATCACACACACACACACAGGTAGAGACTCATAAACATTTAATGTTCGTTCATTGTGTCAATTCGTAACGTATTTGAGTACTTTTTTTTTAGAATGTAATTGCAAACTGTAAGCCAAGTTTGTTGCCAAGTTCCGTTTAGGGAGTTTGAACTGCAATTGGCGCTTCCTCAAAGGCCAAAAGACGGCAGTTACTTACGTTTTCAATGCCCGGGTACAGTTGTTGGCCAGTTTCCTTTTCGGTTGGCTACCACACAGTTAGCTTTTAGGCCTACAAATTTGCTGTAAGCCGCTCCTTATTGGCAATGTTTTTTGGCCAATTGCACAACGCGTCGAAGATGTGCAGCAAAATTTGTCAAAACTATTTTACAAAAATGTTTTTCGTTTCTTCTTTTCTTTTTTGGGTTTGTTATATGTTTGGCACACACAGTTGCACACACACGCACAGTACTTAGTTTTTCCTTTTATAGCTTGAACGAGCAGCTCATTAGTCCGCTTGCAGTTTGGGCCTGGCTAAGAGCTTAGTAACTTGTTTTGAACTGCGCGCAATCGCAGACCGTCGTCGACTCAGCGTCTGGCCGGCAAGCGCGGCTCTTTTTAAACTCCCCTCACAAAGCCCATACGAAGCTTCAGCTGTTGGCCGGTTCATTTTGAGGCTCGCGAACTGGTTCACTAGTTTAGCTTAAATCTGGATTCGCGCTCTCTGAAAGCTTCACATTTGCAAGCTTCGTGAACTACAATATTTGAATTTTAAGTTAAATTTGATGTGCAATTTAAAGTATTTCTTGCTGTTTCTATATAACCTTTACAAATTTGAATGCTAATTATGTATAATATATATACATGAAAAAAGGCAATCATATTTTTATTTACATTTTGTTATTTATTTATTTATTTTATTTTAATTTTTCGCATACAATAATTTAATGAATAGGGAAAAGAAAAAGATGAATATAGAATATAGATAATTTGTAAAACCTATCTTAAAATTAATAAATTTTATATTTGAGTACATATTAAATATAAAATAATTTAATGTAAATAACATATACATACATGAAAAAATAGCAATCACATTTTTACTTTATTGATTTTTATTTTGTTATCTATTTTTTATTAATTTTTTATTAATATTATTTTTTTTTTTCATAAAATAATTTTATTGAATAAGAATAAGTAGAAGCAGAATATAAAATACAGTGAGTAAAATTAATCTTCGTTGTTTTTATTTTTTAACTGCAAACGCCTATAAAATATTAATTGAAATAAAAAAGGTTAAATGCTAAAATGTAGATTGAAAAATTACCTTTCTGATAAGGTATATATGAATATAGTATATTTAACAAAACTAATAAAGATTATTCATAATCCGAAAAAAAGTTGAATAATAAAAAAAAGGAATATTAATGTTACTCTCTGTATATATCATTTATAAAAATAATCCTAAAATTAATAAATTATTCATTTAAACAAATACATAATATAATTAACATAAATAATATTTAAGAAATGTATGTGTATGCGATAAATGAAATACATATATTATATATTCTCGTAATTTGTATTTTTCATTCTACTTTTTATATAAATTTATATAAATGTATATACTGTACATAATATAATAAATTTTCTTTTAGGTTTCAGCATGTGGTCGAATCGTAAAACCCAGCCTCTTCCAATTTGAGCTTATCCCAACGACCATTAGGGTGACTCATGCAAAAGTACCACAATTTCCGCCAGTGTTGTAGAATTTGTTTACGTCAACCCAACGTCTTGTAACTGTAATATAATCAAAATACGTCACACGGCCTCTGCAACCACTGCTTGCCAGCGAGAGCCAAGCGGCCCACACAAAAAGTCACCCGTGGCGCAGCACTCGCCGAGCAGCCCACACAAAAAACAGCGAATGGAGGAACTGCGCCTGCGCAGGATTAACGATTGGCAGCTGGACAACGAGTTGGCCCAAGGCACTTCAAAGGCAAAATAAATCGCAACTGCTGCGTAACTGCGTTTTACAATTTCTGCCGTAAAAACGTTGCAAAATATTTGTAAAAATATAAGGAAGTAAAGAAGGAGCTATACAAGTAAGAATATTATAATTATGAGTATTTTTAAATTCAAAGAAACAAAATTTCAAACGTAAATATATAAAAAACATTGAATCACTGAAAAAAAAAAAAAAAAGCCAACGACAAGCTGCTGCAGCTAAATTCTTAAAATTGAATTTAAATTAAAAGAGTGCTGACAAATATCTCAAATATTTAAAATAAGTCTTAATATCAATTGAGTGAATACATGAACATATAATATTCTAGTGAAACACAAGACTGAAAAGAATATTACTGAAATCGGAAAAAAATCTCTGAAGTAACGTGCGATGGCAGGGGTGGGCTGATGAATCATGCGAATTAGCATACACAAGTATGCGTGTGCAGGTTTCGTGTCTGTGCAATATCGTGTCTGCGTGTGTGTGTGAGTGTGTCTCAAGTAATGAAAAATAACAACAAGAGTGTGCGAAGAACGTGAACAATCTAGCTACAGCAGCAGCAGCTGGTAAAGAAGAATAAAGCAAAAGTTTTCAACTGATTTGTGGTAAAATCGATGTGTGAGGACAAACACTTCCTTTTGTTTTGAACTTTTCCTTGATGTTTCTATTTATACTATTCCATTTGCACTTCCTTTCATCTCGAGTACTCATTCCAACTAATTGCTATTCCATGCAGCTACGCGAAACTACGTGAACGCAGCGAAGAACCCAAGCGCAGCGCGGCTCAAGCCAAAAGGCATTTAAAATGGCTGACGAGTATATGCCAGATGTCAGCTTGATGGACACAAGTGAGTAACATATTGCAGCCAAAGCTAATGGCCCCACTTAACAAACATCATTAGCCAAACGGCGCAAAGTTGCAGCCGAAGTTTTTATCGAAGTTTTCTGTTTGCTGAAACTCAATGAAAGCCCCAACCACCATAGAGCTAAGTTCTTTCGATTACAACCATCAATTGAATAGAAGTTGTTTAATTATGTGCAGAAATGTTGTGCTCAGACTTAGGTCTCGGATTATACAATATACTTTTTTTTTTAATAATAATATTTTAAGTATTTTACTTTCCATTCACAATATTTTTTAAATTCAAAATAATTAAATAGATATAGAATATAGAAAGAAGTAAATTTACTTTTTACCAACTTAATCTAAATTATGAAAGAATAAATAAATAAATTAAAGTTAGGTTTATAATAGATACAAACTGATATATATTCCCGTTTTTAACTTGATGAAAAAATCAGTTTGTATTTTGAAGGATATGTCTCTAGATATGACTCACTTAGTTTTCCCAACAGCCCCCACGGGCTAGCTTATATGTAATAGGAAATATTATATAGTGCAGTGGGCCTATTCAGTTTATAGCAAATATTTCAATTTTTTTATGGGAATGCTCTGTATTTAACCAATTGCTCTTCTGCCTCCTCCTCTGCCGCAGTTGTGCCCGCCATACTGGGCCTCACCGCAGCCGCAGTGCTCTCGACTGTGGCTTGCATCTGTGCCCGGCAGATGCGCATACGGAACAAGAAGCAGAACCAGCACGATGCGTCGTTCCCGTTCCAGCCGACGCGCCGTCCGACCGCAGTTCGTTCGCCGAGTGGCCAGCCGCCGCACTATCTGAAGAAGTCGCCATCGCCCACTGGGGGCAAGCAAATGGGCCTGCTCTCGCCCATGCAGGATCAGTCGACGTCGCCGATAGCACCGCAGAACATGAAGTACGCCGAGGAGGACGAGGTGTCGCAGCAGGCGCAGCTGGCCCAACAGCAGCATCACTCTAACAAGCTGAATGTGGTCGACAATGCCAAGCACCACAATCAGCACCACTCGCCGGTGGAGACCATTGCCAATGGCAATGTGACCATCACCTTGGACGAGACACTAACCAATGGCAAGGAGCTGACCGTCACTGATCAGTACGGAAAGCTTGGCACCATTTACTTCAAGCTGCGCTACCTGGCTGAACGGAACGCTCTCATGGTCTCCATCATACGCTGCCGCGGGCTGCCCTGCAAGGGTGGTGCTGGCGGCACTGGCGATATACCCACTGGCATGAATGGACGCACCCAGGCAGCCACCGATCCGTATGTGAAGCTGCAGCTGCTGCCGGACAAGCAGCACAAGGTTAAGACTCGCGTGGTGCGCAACACCCGGAATCCGGTTTACGACGAGGACTTCACATTCTACGGCTTGAACATGAACGATCTGCAAAACATGAGCCTGCACTTTGTCATACTCAGCTTCGATCGGTACTCGCGCGACGATGTCATCGGCGAGGTAGTCTGCCCATTGTCCTCCATCGAGATCGGCGACATATCCAAAGAAGCGCTCTCCATCAGCAAGGAAATACAGCCACGCAGCCTGAAGATACGCGCCCAGGGACGTGGCGAGCTGCTCATCTCGCTCTGCTGGCAGCCGGCCGCCGGACGCCTGACCGTCGTCTTGTTGAAGGCCCGCAATTTGCCTCGCATGGATGTAACCGGCCTTGCTGATCCCTACGTCAAGATCTACTTGCTCTACAATGGCCAGCGCATAGCCAAGAAGAAGACCCATGTCAAGAAACGCACGCTCAGTCCGGTCTTTAATGAGAGCTTTGCTTTTGATATTCCAGCTGCAGAGGTGAGTACCCATTGGCATCTTTAATTATTCCTCTGGAGTTTTTTGTTATCTCTTATTTTAGATAGTTCTATAAGTTAAGAGAGGAAAAAGTTTCATATTATGGAAAGCAGCCTTACGGCAAGCTTATAAAAATGAATTTTCTTTTTCTTCTTATAATCTGAGTCCATTGAAAATGGAAGTCTAGGGTTTCATAGATTTGTAAAACGTATATTAGAGGTAGGAAATGTGAGGAGAACGAGAGCAAAAGCGAGATACTTGAAGCTTGAAATACTGGCACAAATAGGCGAAGCAATCTGATCATTTCCATATTATGGAATAAAAAAGATAATTTTCTTTCCTCTTTAAGGATGGCATATAAAAAATAGAAGTATTCAATTCAATGTGGTTGTATCCACTGATTTGTTATACTACTTAGGATTTTGGATTAGCCTCTCTGATTCGCCAATAAAGTCTTTCGAATACTAAAGAAATACACACTTACTTATTTCTGTCGTCATATCCTGGAAATGTAAATTATAAGTATTATTCAACAATGAAGAGCCCATAGTAATGCCCATAATACAGCCCAAGCGCAGACGCTGCACACACTGTATGGTTGTGTGTGTAAATATGTATGTGTGTGCATGTATTGTTTGCAATGTATTCACACAAGAGAAGCGGCGACTGATTAGAATATCCGCTTTTCAAAGGCTTTGGGATATTTCCTAGTCTCGACTGGAGCAATCTTACTTGTCTTAATATAAGTTCTTTTTGCTGAAATGAGTATTTATTTTAATATTATTAAGTCTCGATTCGAGCCCAGAGCAATCGCCTGCAGAATGCCTAATATCTTTTCCCCAAGTCTATTGTCTGTTACTTGACTATCTATTGTTGCACTAATCATAAACTTGATCAAAAAGTTATCCACTCCTTTATATGGGTATGCATTAAAATGAATCGTCTTTTAGGGCACTGGCGCCACATTGGAGGGCGTCTCACTGGAGCTGATGCTACTCGACTGGGATCGCGTGACCAAGAATGAGGTAAGCCCACATATTACTTTTTAATTGGCAGCTACCTAAAGACTCTCTCTCCCTCTCTCTCTCCCTCTCTGTCGCACACAGGTTATTGGACGCCTAGAGCTGGGTGGACCCAATTCGAGCAGCACCGCTTTGAACCACTGGAATGAAGTTTGCAATTCGCCACGTCGCCAAATTGCCGAATGGCACAAATTGAACGAGTGAAACGCTAGAGCTGTATCAATTTTTAGGGGCAGCGACCTGGCGCTGGCGCCGCCTACCCAACCACAAAACAACAACAACAACAACAACTTGCAAAAACAAAAAGAAAACAGACAAACAACATATACAAAATATTAAGTTTTTAAATTAAGTTCAAGATTTTACAATGTTTTCTTTCGACTTATGCTCAATGATTTTTATTTATTTTTTATGATAAACCAAAGTTTAAGCAAAAAGTAATATACCAGAAGAAAAAAAGAAAAAAAATGAGAAAAACTTAAGTATATTAAATGTATTAGAAAATGTTTAGTGTGTAACAACAATGCGTGTAAATGTAAGATAATTAATTAAAAACTTTACATACTCCTACATATATAATGAAAGATAAAACAGGTACCACTACGAATAGAAATAAAAACACTTCAATTTGTTGCTGTATAGAGATGATTTATCAAATTTACGACTCAAGCAAAATGCAAGTTCTATAAGAGAAGAAAATTCTTTTTAGCTTTCGCTTTTCATTTGCACATGGAAAAATCGTTTTACCTGAACAAATATTGTTTGTAGCCCATTCATTATAACTCTGCCCACCATAAATACTTTTGGTATTTGTTTAAAATGTATTTATATTGTATTTAAAATGTAATCTTTATATCTTAGGCATATGTTGATTTCTTCTTTATCACAAAGCAAAAATAAAACACACATATAGACAAAAAAAAAAAAAAAAATTATAATAATACCAATACTTGAATAGTTCTTAATAAAAAGAAACTTTTCACAATGTGTCCGAAGTGAGAAATCGCTTACTGCTTATCACTTATAAATATATAAATAAATTAACGAAAAATATAAATAATGCAAAAGAACTCGAAATGAAAAATGAAACTTGAAGGAACACGCAGCAAATTGCTTAGGCACCAAAAAGCTACAAAATCATACACAAAAAGAACGAAACAAGTCAAAACCCAAGAAACCAAACAACACAATAGAATAGTACTTATAAGAAATGTAGAAACCACAATTAACAACTAATTGTACGATGTAGAGTTACGAGATATCACATATGAAATACAATACATAGAATGGATAGCTCAAACTGAATCCAGAACCTAATAGGCATTACTTAAAGCTAACGCCACTCTATGATATATACAAGCATAACTAAGCAAAGCTTACGACGCAGAGTTGAATCCATTATTCAAATGATATTGCCAGCGGCTACTCCACCCGACATTTTGTAAAATGTAAAAGTGCGAGAAGGTAAAATCCAAAAATAAAAGAAAGCAAACAAAAATAAAAGTAGCGTACCCCCGAAGAGAATAAATCAATTTGAGTCCACAATCAAACTTCAATTCGTCTAGAGCGCATACAATAATTTAAAAAATAAAAACAGATTTTCATATACATAGATGTATAACTATATAAATACGTATAAATAAAGATACATACTTCATGCAAATAAATAATTAAATATATGTATATCTCCCTATATATATATATGAAAACTACATACATGCACATATATATATATAAAGTGAAGTGTGAAATTCTACATATGCATATGTAATAGGAATGTTAAGAAACATTGAATGGTTAATTTCAGTAATAAAAACGTATATAAAATGACAAAAAATCTGTATTTTTATTGAGCATTTAGCTATTTGTCTGTTTTTTTTTTTTTTTTTTAATATTCACCCTAAAAAATATATATTTGTATGTCTTCACTGATAAGGGTCTTCAGCCTGAGCTGTTCTCAGTTTAACTTAAGTGAAACGTGAATCTTCGGATAAGCGCTTGAATTGTATTTCTTAATTATCAACATTTTCGGTTTATTTAATCTTTCATTTGCAATCTTTAATCTTTCTTTGTGCATTTCGCTATTGTTTTAGCAGCAATAGCTGCGTATGTACAAGGTGAGTAATAAAACATATTGTTAGCCTCTTTTTTAGCTTCCTTCTCTCTAGTTTTTTTTTTTTTTTTTTTTTTTTTTTTTTTTACTTTTTCCTTAATATTAACTCACATTTTCTTATCTCCTGATTTGTGTACACAGTCTCAGCTGGGATAGGTGGTTGCACGTCGAATGAGTTTGAGTGTCCAAATGACACTTGTATTGACATGCCATTGCTCTGTGATGGCAAGAAGGATGGCCCAGACTCTACGGATGAGGTTTTCAGTGCCTGTTACAATGTTCTCTGCAGTGGCTTCCGCTGCAATTACGGCGGCTGCATAGATGCAAGTCTGAAGTGCAATAACATCAACGATTGTTGGGATAAGAGCGACGAAAATAAATTTTTGTGTGCGAATGAGACAACGATATTAGAATTACTGACGGATCTGAGTGGAAACTGCGCGTGAGTATGGGGCTCACTTGTGTTTTTATACCCTGAAGCCAGTTAAAGTGCCAAGGCAGGGTATAACAGCATATGTTTCAGGCCTAAGAGGATCCTTTGATCTGGTCGGCGAGCTGAGATGATTTAGTCCTGTTCGTCTGTGTGTCTGTATGTATGAACGCGTTGTTCTCAGAATCTATGAGATTTGGAGACTGAAACTGTTAAGTCTTTTATTTATTATTATTTTTTTTTTGCTGGTTGTACTTGTATTTTAAATTTAATTAAAAAAAAAAAAATAAAAAAAAAAAAAAAAAAAAAAAAAAAAAAAACAACATCGAATCCAAGACGTCGTTAATGCTTGAGTATCAACATTTATATTATTTTACAGTTTTGCTGTTTGCTATAGTATAGGAACCGCCTCTTTTATTATTTAAAAATTTAAATTTTTTTGCGAATTTGGGCAATGTGCAAAATTGTTTATATTTTCATTCTTAAAAAATATTTGAAATTGAATCTGTAGACAAAGAGATCATTTAAATTAATTTAATTAAATTAGCTAACCGGCGAAACAGGAAGATGGGATGCGGGTCGCCGAAGGGTTGTGAGTGCGACTTCTTAATATGGAAGGTTTTATTTCTGTTTATTTGTTCTTAACAAGCTTTTGGGTATATCGATTGGGGTCGGGTCAACTGGAGTTTTCTTACATGTTATTTTCTTGTTCCCTATAGCATCGATTATGCAATGCAATGTCTGAACTCCGATAGGTGCTTGCACTGGAGTAATGTGTGCGATGGCGTTGGCGATTGTAGAAATGGTGAGGATGAGGATAAGAATATTTGCGGAGTTAACCATTGTGCTAGTGGCTCGTTTTAATGCCAGAGTGGGACCTGCATAAGCAAATACCGCTTGTGCGATCATAATGTCGACTGTTTCGATGACAGTGACGAAATGCTCGCAATATGCAAACAAAGGATTAGCTCGAAGGCAGTTGAATGCTTCACCAAGAGCTGTGCCTTGGTGTCCAAGCAGGGCATGCGAGTGGCCGATTACAAGTTCGATGCCCAGGTGCCAGACCAAAGCATCGTGGAGGTCACTTGCGATGACGGATATAAGCTCTTAGGCTCCAATATCAACAGCTGCGATAACGGTACCTGGGAAAATAACTTGATCTCATGTGTTCGATACTGCGAGCCAAGCCCATATTCACGCAGCATCGCGTATTCCACAAAGTGCAGCGCGGTTGTCGACTGCGATGAAGGATCACTCACAGACACGGAAATGTTGGTATCCTGCTCGCCAGGCTACGAGTCCGACTCAGCTCGTAATCAAGTTGGTCGCCACGTCTGCAATGAGAATGGCGAGTGGGCTGTCCGGGCTGGCGAGGCGAATCCCATTTGTACGCCCATCTATGGAGTTAAGCCTGCACATTATCCCGATATTACGCCTTGAGCCTGTTTCGGCGCACCTCGCCCTTGGATGCAATCTATACTTTTCATTGTAATTACGGCCGACGCCTGTTTTTCGGAAGAGGCTGAAGCGAATTCTTGTCTTTTCGTCAAAGTTGCTGAGGGCGATCACACAATCGAATCTAGTGAGGACGAAGATCATGGCTATGCTCTGCATAACCTCATGGACATACATATCGTCACAAGGTGAGTACTTATAAAACCAAATTCCTAAACTATATATAAATATATTATTATATTAAATTTGTGAACTCTCATCTTCATTATAGCCGGCACTCTTATAAGGCAGCCTTAATACGTGTGATAGAACCTTTTATTTTTGGTGCTCGAGTACGACCCATTTTATTGTCTCCATATACTAATGACAGGATACCGTTGGAGCTCAAAGGTGACTTTGATGACAATCAGTTGGGAGACGGACAGACAGAATATGAGAACTCCAAGCACTATCTAACGTATGTTGTGGCCAGCCGATCGACTAAATATAGCGTACAACATTTTATCGCGACTTTCACTGAAAAAAAAGCGAGAAGAATCTTTGAACATTGAATTCACTTTATTATATTCTGATTTAAGAGCTAAAAATAAATGTGAATGTACATAAACTAAAACACACACACGTCCACTACTTGACAATTACATAAGTATTATATATATTTCGATATATATATATAAATTTAATTTTATTTACTTATATTCGGGTTTAAGTACTAAATTTCATGTTTTTATTTTCCATGTTCACGAAATAAACCATTGATGAAAGTTTTCTCCTGGCTTTCATTTGCTATGCTTATGTTTATTGATAGTATTTTTATTTTTTTATTTTTTTATTTTTCTCATATTATTTGCTTCTATTTTTTCATCATTATTAGTTGAATTCAGTTTCTGCTTTTTACATTGAGATTTTTTCGGAATTACATTCTAACTATTTTTTTATTTTTTCTTTTTCTTTTTATATTCTCTTGAATTAATTGTTTTTTTTTTTTTTGTAGCTGAACTTTTGCCTTGCAATACAATATTAATTAGTAATTAATTAATTACAGACATTTAGTATGAATTTTAGGACACATTTAGTTGAGTTCACTTAGTTAATACTTAGTTTTCATTAAAAACTTTAATTATCTGTATTTTTATTTGTATTCAAATGTTTTGCTCTCGATTTTTTTTTTTTTTTTTCTTCTTCATTTTGATCACCTCAGTCTTACCAAAAATATTTTAAATTTATTCAACAGCTTCTTTCTTCTTGCAGTTTTGAACATTAGAAATCGAGTTTTAGTTAGTATTTCATAGTTCTTAGGCTTAGTTCAAAATAGTTATATTTTTTTTTTATTTTTTTACTTTTATTTTTTATTTTTTGGCTATCGCATGGTTTCCTTTATATGTAGTTTGTAAACACATGCAAATTTTAATGCTCAACTTTGTATTTTTCTTTTCTCATGTTTTCATTTTTTAAATTTTATTTAAAATTTTTTTTGAAAAGTTTCTTGGAGAAACTTTCGTACTCAATGCGTTACATAATAGATTAGTTAGGTCTCAGCTGCTGTAGCCTTAGTAGTTGCATATGTACATAACTCTTAAGGATTTTAGATTACATTTAGCTTTGATTTCAACGCTGCCATTTGATTTTTAGATATAACTGCGAGATCTGTTTTGCGCACAGGATTAAACTAAATCTTACAAAAGAATCGTTAATATATCCACACGTGTGTCTCACACGAGCTGTGGACTTGGAAGGTGGAAAGCGAAGGCCTTGCAATAATAATTATTAGAAATAGCTGAAAAGTAGCATTAAGGCTAAGAAAAACCGATTGCAATTATTAATCATGCTGGGTTCTGCCTCATACATTGCTGATCCTCATTCAACATATGGATACCAGATAGTAAGATATGATATTTGGATAAAATGCAGGCTAAGCTGTCAAATTGGTGTTGCCATATGTATTCATTTTAGCCGGGTGGCAGTACCATCCTTTCTTTCCAATGTTGTCATGGGCTTACCAGGTCATATTATAAAAGAAATTAAAGGAACGATTCTTGGGATCTGCTCAAATAAAAATGTATTGTATATTGAAATTTTAATAGAATGTTAAGAAGTGCATTCAGTGAAGTAAAGAGAGAAAATTCGGAAAATACATAATCTAGTTGGGGGCTCCAAGTGCGAATTAAGCTTAAGCATGAATTTGGACGGTGTTGGTAAATTAGAATAATTAATACGTATAGTTGGCAATTTACAGGTTTGTTTATCGATAACTTAAGATAGGTTACTGTTTGTCTGTATGTGTGTGTGATGATGTAACCTAAGTAATTTTAGCGGTACGCACTAGGAGAGACTAACTACGAATTAATACTGTACAGGATACGCGACACTCCTACTAAGAACTAATTAAACGGGCCTCAGCTCGTATTGCATACAAATCGGCGGTCAACACAATATGATGTCTAAATACGTATATATGTATATATACGCATGTATCGGTTATGTAACTTAAGAAGACGGGGCGTGGCCAACTTAAAAGTACGACGTTAGCTATCCCTTGTCCTTGCCGGGGCCGACGCTTACGCCTAGCAGATGCTCGCCGGCCATCAAGCCCGCCGGCTGATGCGCATAGTTGCGGATCTGATGCAGCGAGATCAGCTGGTTGGGAAACGCATTGGCATTGTTCTGGTTGACGTTCTTGTTGGGAAAACTGATGGCATCGTAGAGATAGGGACGCTGCGCCATCGGATGGTGGCTCAGCGAATTCAAGTGCGGCGGCATCGAGTTGATCGGCGTAAAGGCCGAGTTGCTGCTGGTCTTCGTTATAGATGCCGCATCATACGGCCCCACGGTGCTGGGCGTGGCTGCTGTCGATTGAAAACAATAATATTGACTCGTCTGCCTAGGCAATGATTATATTAGTGTCTATGATTACCTATATCCTCGCGCCCCGGATCGGGCATGATGCGATGGTGCGACTGCAACTGCTCCGGCGCATGGCCATTGCTTTGGTTGCTGTTGGCCGCTGTGGGTTGGGCGTAGTGCGCCTCCATGCTGTGCTGGGGCGGTGGCTGCTGCTGCTGTTGCTGTGGGTGGTGGTGCTGCGGTTGTTGCTGCTGCTGTGGTGGGCCGTGTTGCTGCGGCGGAACGCCGAGCTGCGTGTGATGCAGATGCGGCTGTTGTTGCTGCTGTTGCTGTTGTTGCTGCTGCTGCTGTTGCTGCTGCTGTTGTTGCTGCTGCTGTTGTTGCTGTTGTTGCTGCTGCTGCTGCTGTTGCTGTTGCTGGTGCATCACCTCCATGGCATTGGCCGCTGCTGCAGAGTCCGGACTCACCTTGGGCCAGTAACTGTTCTCGCTGGGCGCTATCGAAACCGGCGGCAGAACCAGATTATTGCGCTGATGCTGCTGCTGTTGTTGCTGCTGCTGCTGCTGTTGCTGCTGCTGTGCGTTGCTGCCTGCTGCAGTGGGTGTGGCAGCGGCCGCAGCGGCGGCTGCAGCGGCCACGGCTGCTGCACTGCCGGGCACAATGGGCGGCCGCTTGTCCGTGCGCTCCGCATGCTTCTGCATGTGCTTGGTCAGGTATGTCTCCTGGGTGTAGGACTTGCCGCAGTACTGGCAGATGTGCGTCTTCAGATGCTTGGACTCCTTGTGCTTGGGTATGTGCTCCAGCAGCGATGGCTCGTCCGAGAAGCACTTGTAGCACGAGTTGCACTTGAACGGCTTGTCCGTCTGATGGCAGCGCGAGTGCGACTGCAGATTCGACAGCTGGGAGAAGGCCTTCTGGCAGCCGGGATGCCGGCACTTGTACGGCTTGTCGCCCGTGTGGGTGCGTATGTGCTGCTGCAGGTGCGACAGTTGCGTGAACTTGCGCTGGCATATCTCGCAGCGGTATGGCTTAATGCCCAGATGAATGCGGGTATGCTGCGACAGATACGACGAGTTGGCGAATGCCTTCGAGCACTGCGTGCACTTGTAGGGCTTCGCCTCTCGCATGTGGATCTGCGTGTGCAGCTGCAGGTCCGCCTTCGAGCTGAAGATCTGCAATAGACGGAAGAGGATTTTTGTGAGACCGAATCAGAGCTGTCAAGGATCGGCTACAAGCTTTTACAGTTTGACATTGCACGGAATCGAGTAATCGAGGGCATGGGAAAATCTTAGTCTAAGTTGCTTTTCTGGTCTGCATCGAACATTTTGTTTTTGCGAAAAGCATTATTAAGTAAGGATGGTCAAGCTGTAGGTGAAGAAATCTGTGCACATCTTTGGAGTTCAAGCTTTGGAGTTCCAACTGTAAATCTGATATAGCTACGCTGGCTGCGAAAGAAGTATATATATATTGCAAATCCCAAGTCAGGCAATTTAGTTGTTTACGTTTTACAAAATAAAATGTATAATACTCGCACAGTGTAGTCCCGATAATTACAAGGAATCAGAATCTCGTATGAGCTACATCGTTTTTGATTTGTCGTTATTTTTAACTTATTAGGAATAAATCGACATGAGTGTAATGTACAAGTTTTCAAAATTGAGTTGATCCCTCGCTAACTTTGGGCTCAGCAACAGGCGCTACGTTTAACATCGTGATTTAAGAACAAAAATTGACCTATTTTGTATGAAATTTAAATAGTTTGGTTATTCAACAGTATCCCAGGTGTCCAGCTATCAAGTCAAAGCAGAATAAACTGAAAAGGAGCTATCCACATGGTTCTCCCTCACAGATTCTCCTTATAACGTTTAATTATATTATTGTAAATGTTGTAAATGACTATTATTTTCGATATATGTTCGGATCAATTATTTAATACTCTAAAGGTAGCAGAACATTAATAAAATATATCAGCTTTTATTGAAAATAAAAGCAAAATGAATTCAAATAATTTCAACTTGTCCAAATGAGAAATATCACGTCCTTCACCTTGGTGTCCTTCACATCGTGTGTCATATGATGCGGCGAACTGGTGGAGGATGAGATGCCGTTGGCATTGCTGTTGCCGTTGCCAGCGCTGGCGGCGACAGTGCTTGGATTTGGATTCGAGCTGCCATTGGGATTGGCGTTCGGATTGCGCTCGTTGATCGTTGCGTTCTGCATGCGAATGCCTCCGTTGTCCACGCTGTTGCTGGTGACCACGATGTGCTGGTTGGGATTGGGATAGATGCGAGACTTGCGTCCACGCGTGGAGCCAGTGGGCGTGGCTGTGGTGCCGCCGCTGGCGCCCACATTGCTGCCGCTGCTGCTGCTCACGACGGCGTCGTTGACGAGCTTCGAGCTGTTGCTGTTGCCATCGACTATGGCCAGAGCGGAGCCGCTCTCCAGGCTCGGCTTGGGCTGATGCAGCGCCTCTCCTCCGCCGCCGCTCAGATGGTACTGATGCTGTTGCTGCTGTGGCTGCTGCGGCAGCTGCGGCTGTTGCTGTTGCTGTGGCTGTGGCTGCGGCTGCTGGTTATAGCTGAGCACCGAGCCGCGCAGATCGGGCGTATTGGAGAAGACGCTGAGCGGCCCGAGTGCCACGCGCTCATTCAAGCTGTTGCGCAGATGATCTATGGAGCGGTGCACAGCGTGGGAGTAGTCGCCGCCAGCGGGCGGAATCTCCCCAATCAGCGGCGAATTGTGATGGTAGTCGAGGCCGCCGCCAATTGGACGATACTCAATTAAACGGCCCTCCATTTAGTCGATATTTTGTTTATTATTTAAAGTGTCCTTAATAGTATAATTTTAATTAATATTATTATGATTTCACAAGTAGTCTTCAAACTAAGTTATCAGCACTTATTTTATATCTGCGAAATGTGTAGCACGCATTAATATATATTATTATTTTATTATTGTTAACACTTTTTTGCTTAGGTCATTTTTTTTTTTTTTGGTATTTTATAATTAATTTTTTCATATATTGTTAGAATTTTTCGTTTTATTTTTGTATTGTGATTATTTGCTAAAATAATATCAAACACTATTATTTTTTATGTGCACAGCTTCCACTTTGTTAATTCTTTGATATTTAGATTAATTTATTTTTCACTTTTAATTATTATTATTTTTTTTTACTGATTATCAAATTTATTTTTTCAAATATTCAAACTCGGTTGGCATTCAGCCAATGTATTTTATTTTATATTTTTTTTTTACGATTTATGATTTAGTTTAGAACATTTGACAAAGAATATGTTTTCAACTGCGCGATTTTGTTTTGTTAATTATTTAACATTTTCATATCGTATTTACCCACTTTCCTCCAAGTTTATAAGTGTTATAGGATTGTGTTTTGGAAAATATTCTTTTAAGTCATTAACACATTTTCAAATTTTGATTGCCTATCTACAAGAAAAGTTATTCAACAATCGAATTCCCATAACATACCCCAATTGTAGTCTAAGCGCCGTTGCTTCGCAGTTAACAGAGCGCTTATGTGTACGTACGTATATGCGTGTGTGAGTGTTTGCTATATGTTGTATGCAGAATAGAAGCGAGGAATTATTGCAATACAAAAAAAGCGTATCACTAAAATATGTATTCAAATTACATTGAATTTAAATAATCGGCGCAGTGGCTACACAAATATAAAGAATTGGCATAATATACATAATATATATGGAAATCATATAAATCTTAAAGAGAACTATCCAAATTATACGAATTTTAATATTGTACTCCGAAATATTTCAAAGTGAAAATGATGAAAAGGGTATTTCCTTAAAATTAAACAGGAATATTGTAAAAGACGAAAGCAGATAAATCTTAAAGACAAATATCAAAATTATAAAAATTTGAATATTCTACTCTAAAATAATATAAGAATAATATAAGAAGTAATTAACTGAAAATCCCTTAAGATGAAATTGAATTATTCTCCAAGAGGAATTTGAGGTTCAGCATATGTAGGCCCAGGGAAAGTATTTTATAGTAATATTTGCTATTTATACTTATATTATAAGCCTCTATTATTTATATATTGTAAACTTCATTTAATAAGAGACAACGGCTATCAATTTGCCCTTCTGCCTGCCTCGTGTCATGCATTTGTTTACTTTAAGGAATCAAAGGTGTCGCCTGTTGCCTGTTGCACGTCTTTTTTCTGGCCTCGTTTTTTGTGAGCAATTTCTTTGTTGTTTTCTTTTTGTCTGGTGACACTTTTCAAAAATTCAAAATCTGCGAGACGCGACCGCAAAAACGTTTTAGTCTCGACTCGCTGCGCCCCTCGCAGTCGCAGTCGCAGCAATCGCATTGAATTTAACTTGCCTTTGCGTCATTTTGTAATTCTTCCTTTTTTGTTTGTTGTTGTTTGTCCTAAATCTAACGGCGTTTTCTGCTCCTTTTTTTTATTTTGCATTTTCAATTGCTTCGTTTGCGCCATTTTCTTTTTTTTTTTTTTTTTTTTGCAAGCGTTTCTTCTGACGCGGAAATATTTTTTCGCCACGCATTTGACTTTTCAGATTTTATGCAGCGCACGCCCTCAACTCTGGCCTCCCCCGTTTTCCACTCTGCGGCTAGCTTTTTTCAATTTGACTATTTTCCATTTCCCATTTTGCTTGCTCGTTTTTGCGGTGCTTCGATTAGATTTTTTCCCCTATATAAAATCGGCGCTCTCTTGCCGACAGTGTCTGTGATTTTATAGAGCATTGCATATTTTTTCTATTTCGCATTTTCTATTTGCTTTTCGCTATTTGTTGTGGCAGCAGCCAGCAGCCAGTGAAGCGCAGACAAGCAGCAGACATCCAGCGTATATGTCAGGTGAAAGTCGTCGCTGTTTTTATTTGCTATTTGCTATTTGCATTGGTGTATTCTATTTTCTATTTTGTTGTCTCGTGTGATTTGTTTCTATTTCTAAACGCTGCGAATAATTCATTCATTTGTTGCATATTCCAGCATATATTTTTTGCTCATGGCTTTTGATTTTTGATATAGATATACATATATGTTTATATATATATATAGAAGTGTATGCAGCCGAGTGGTCTCTGACTGCTCGCGGCTTTATTTTGTTTATTTTACGTTTAGATGCAATTGCCAGTTCGTTTGTCATTCACGACATTGACCTTGAGCGAGATTTTTGTGGGTTAGCATTTCTATTTACCGGCTTTGTTTATTTTCGACTAGTTTGGGCAATATTTTTGGGAATAACTTTTAGTTTTATTTATTTATATTTTAGTCTGCACATTGTCTATTTTTTTTTTCTTTATTTTTATTACTCTTGCTCTCAAAATCTAGCAGATTTTTCATTAGTTTCAAGGATTCATGCTTTTCATAGTCTAGCTATATATAAATTAGAATCCGCCTATAACGACTCCGCTTCTAGCGTTCGTACGATTATCTTGATGAAAATTCTGATCCACAGACAAAGTTTTATGAGCAAACTTTACGGTTATAGAGTCCTCTGGCTGTAGCAAAGGCCCCTTGAGCGTCGTTATAACCGTATAATACTGTAACTATAAGTAACTGCAGACTTTAATAGGTCTTAGCTGTAGGCTATATACATCTCTCAATTGTCAAAGTCTGATCAATAAAATTACACAATTTCATTTAAAGTGCAAGAAAAACTATGCTTGCTCTCTAAATAAATGACAAAAGTTCATTTTAGATAATTCAACAAAGTTTCCAAATATTTCTAAAATTATTAAGTCATTGAAGGAATTCTAAGCACAAAATTTTACCATTATATTTAAAACTAATTTAGATGTTTTGCGGAAAATTCAAATTGAAAACTCAGCTCATACCTCGAAAGACTAGCCTCTCACGCAAACAGCCTGCCTAGGCAACAAGCGCACATGAACTGGGAGAAGACTTAGACCCCCTTTACTGAACCGAGTCAAGACTAAAAATATATCACATATCCCCTTAATATTTAGCTTTGATAACTAGAATCTTTAAATCTTTCTTCTGAATGTATGCAATGTCCTTTTGTCATTGACTTGAAAATTATATAAAATTAGTTTCCCTTGAGATTTTTTATCTAAAAGGTAGACAAAACCCAAGTGTTCAAGTATTTAATGACAAAACTCAAGTCAAATCTTAATGAGTTACTTGAGTTACCTGATATTTCAGA